CCGTTGCTTATATGGCCATCCAGGGCTTTAGGGTTTAGGGTTTAGGGTTTAGGATGGAGGGGCTTAGGGTGTAAGGTTTAGGGTTGAGGACTCAGTGTTTTGGGGGGTTTAGGATGTCAGGACGCAGTGGGGTCTGGAGGTTTTGGGCTTGTAGAGCCTTACGCTGTTCTTGCTTTAGGGTTGAGGGCTTTTTTGGGGAGCTTGGTATAGGGTTTAGGGTTTAGGGTTCAGGGTTTAGGGTTTAGGGTCCTGCGGGCCAGGTGCCGCTGAATCCCAAGAACAATCGGGAGCGGCTGACGCAGGCGCGCGCACGCCCTGGAACTGCTGGACCAGCTTCACCCGTCAGAAGCCCTAGGGTTTAGGGTTCAGGGTTTGGGGTTTGGGGTTTAGGGTTTTAGGGTTTTAGGGTTTTAGGGTTTTAGGATTTTAGGGTTTTAGGGTTTTAGGGTTTTAGGGTTTAGGGTAAGCTCAAAAAGCCTTTAAAGCCGAAACCCTCTAAACCCCTAAACCCCCCCTAAAAGCCTCTCCCCTAATGCCCTAAGACCCAAGCCCCTCTGCCTCCCTGCGGCTGGGCCTCTGCCCCTCGATTCAACCCCTAAGCCGTGTCGAGGGTTTGGGATTGGGGCTTCGGATGCTAGGATGTCGAGGATGTTTGGAGTACTTTGGGTTTTTCGGGGTTTAGGGTTTAGGGTTTAGGATGTTTGGAGTATGGTAGGTTCTTTTGAGCTGTTGGGCCTTGAGAGAATTATTGACGGCTCGGCACGGCATGGTGTCTTCGACCTAAACCCACCTAAACCCTAAACCCTAAACCCTAAACCCTAAACCCTAAACCCTAAACCCTAAACCCTAAACCCTAAACCCTAAACCCTAAACCCTAAACCCTAAACCCTGAACCCTGAACCCTGAACCCTGAACCCTAAACCCTAAACCCTAAACCCTAGACCCTAGACCCTAGACCCTAGACCCTAGACCCTAGACCCTAGACGCCCTGTCAAGGTGATCTTTGAGAGCTTCAGTGTGCCTGCCATGTACTTGGCACAGCAGGCGGTGCTGACTCTGCTCCTGGGCCAGATACAGGCTTTCTCGTGAACCGCCCCTGCACCTTCTAGACCACGAGCCTTCAACCTTTCGACATGACTAGACTCGACCCTAAACCCCACCCAAAGTCCTTGAACTCTCAGCGATGCATAGCTATAGACACGAAGCCCTGAACCCTCTTGACAAGTCGACCCTCAACCCTAACCTTACCCTGAGTTGATGGCCAGCCGGTGAGATGCAAGACAGGGCTTGCAAGAGGTAGAATCCAGGATCTTGAGTTCGCGTGTAACCCGCACAAATCCTCAACCCCCTAACCCTTTAAACTAAACCCTACACTGTCAAGCCCTCAACCCCAAAGCCCGATGCTAAACGCCAAGCCTCCCAAACCCAACATCCCCAAAACCTCAGCGACCGCAAAAGCGCCTAAACGCCTAACCAGACGTTGAACACTTTACCTTGAACTCAAAACCCCAAAAAGCTCTTGCAAACCCCTTTGAACCCTTTATTGCACCCAAGCGCGCCGCCGAGGTACTCCTCCGGCCGCACCACAGGCGTTGCCTGCCCAAGGGCGCCGTTGTAGGGTGGTTAGGGTTTGTAGGCTTTGGGTCTTTTAGGTTCAGGGTTGTTAGGGGCTTAGGATTCCTAGCATTTCTTGGGGTTTAGGGCTTTGGGAGTTTAAGATTTCTTTTATTTTCTTGGAGGGGGGGGGGGGGGGGGTGGGGTTAGGGTTTAGGATTCTTAGGATTTTGGGGGGTTGGGGTGTAGGCTTTTTCAGGTTTTTTGGGGGGTATGGGTGGTAGGGTTGAGGGGAGATTGGGGGTTGCCGAAGCCCAACCATGGGACATCAACGTTATCGAGCCTTCACCCGTAAACCCCCAAACCCCAAACCCCCAAACCCTAAAACCCTAAACCCCTAAACCCCTAAAACCCCTAAACCCCTAAACCCTAAACCCCTAAACCCCTAAACCCTAAACCCCTAAAACCTAAACCCCAGACCCCAAAACCCCCAAACCCCTAACCCCAAAGTCCCCCCCTAAACCCCAAAACCCCCAAACCCCCAAACCCCAAACCCCTAAACCCCCAAACCCCCCAAACCCCCCAAAACCCCCAAACCCCCCAAACCCCCCAAAACCCCCAAACCCCCAAACCCCCCAACCCCCAAACCCCGAAACCCATGCGAGAAGGGCCGTATGACGCCAGTACCCAGGTTGTCGTGGACTGTGGCGCCGAAGTGTGCCAGGCAGCCCTGGCTCGTGCTTTTTTTTTTTTTTTTGGGGGGGGGGGGGGGGGGTCGGTTGAGGGTCGAGGGTTTAGGGTTTTTTGGCGGTTGTGGGTTTAGAGGCTAGTTTGTTTGAGCCTAAACCCGCAGAGCCGAAGCACCTCATACTCTCGACCCCAGCCAAAAAGCCCCAAAGCCCCTAAAGGCCCTAAGTCCTTCATCTCCTTCATCCCCCTCCCCCCGTGGCCTCAACCCCCTTAAAGCCCTGAATCCCTGCAAAACCTGGGGTTTAGGTGTTAGGGTGTGCAAAAAGCCAGGCGGTCCCGGTATGCGAGGGCCAGACGTTGCCCCGCGAGCGGCAGTTATGGCTTTGGGGTTTAGGGTTCAGGGTTTAGGGTTTAGGGTTTTAGGGCTGAGGCTCCAGGTCAGGCTAGGTTCCAGTCAATGGGTTTCAGGTTGGGTCTGGGGTCCCTTGACTTGAAGGGCTTAAGTGGATTGAACGCGAAACCCCAAACCCTAGACCCTAAACCCTTAACACGGAGTCCCAGACCCTGCGCTACACCTCCACAGCCCTAAACCGTAAACCCTGGTAACACTCTGACCCTGTAAATCATGGCCCGGATCCCCCTCAACCCTAAACCCCAAACCCCAAACCCTAAACCCCAAATCCCTCAACCCGAAAGCCTAACTTGGCTAGCCTTTTCTCTTTCGGCGCCCCCCGAAGTTCTCTTATCCCCTACTCTTAGCCCCCTACATCCCTCGACATTCCGAAAACTCCACAAGCAAGCGCCCTGAAACCCCCGTGCCGCCCTAGAATACTGCCTCCATAGCCCGACCAAGAGAGCCCTATTCACTCATTAAAGAAAAGCCCTCAAACCCCCCAAACCCTAACCTCGAAACCGCAACCCATCCTACAACCCCATAAATGGGCCACGCTGCAGGCCCCATGGCGTGAGGCGACTGGAGCTAGGGGGCCGTGATGTCACGGACTACCTCCTTCAGGCCCGGTAAAGGGTTCGTGGTTTGGGGTTTATGGAGTTTACAGGGTTCATAACCCTAAACCTTAAACCCTAAGCCCTAAAGCCTAAACAACCCTAAACCCTAGACCTTAAAGGGTTGGGGTAGTTGCCGGTTTTCTTGGGGTTTATTGGGTTTGAGGTCTTGTAGTTTAGGGTTGCCGGTTGTCAGGTTAGGGTTTAGGTTTTAGGGAGTGCTTGAGGGTTCCAGAGCCCTGTGTGTGAGGCCACGAAGGATTAGATGTCACGCCGGGTGAATCGGCAGTCCCATTGTTCATCACACAAGCCCCAAAACCTAAACTCAAGGCTTAGGTTTAGGGCCGGAATTTCATTAGAGTTGGGTTTGGGGGTTACTGTGGTCTTGTTATAAAGGGACCATAAGGGGGGTTCACGATATTCATTGGGCCTACTATTTGGTGGGTCTTTGTTTTTGTTTAGGGGTCCCTTATTATGTTAAACCCCCCCCCCTCCGTTAAGCGTCGGATGGCCCTCCACGTTCGGGGTTTAGGGTTTAGGGTTTAGGGTTTAGGGTTTAGGGTTTAGGGTTTAGGGTTTCGTGTTTAGGGTTTAGGGACAGTGGTCTGCATCCCAAGCTCCACAGCTTCTGCGCCCTATCGCAGCAACCCCAAAACCCAAATCCCGAAACCCGAAACCCGAAACCCTAAACCCTAAACCCTAAACCCCCCACCCCAACAAACCGAGATTCGGGGAGGTGCTCTCCACGAGCGGATACAAGTTTACCACCTCGCTTGAGCGGGCGATTGTGGCTGATCTGAAGGCCGGCGTTGGGGGGGGCTTAGGGGGTTTAGGGTTTAGGGTTTAGGGTTTCGGGTTTGGGGTTTCGGGTTCAGGGTTTTGGGCTGCGGGCTTTAGGGTTCAGGGTTTGGGGTTTGAGGTTTCGGGTTTGGGAATGTTCGTGTTTGGGGTTTCGGGTTAAGGACTTAGGGATTTGGGCTTGGGGTTTGGGGAGCTTAGAATTTAGAGGTTTGGGATTTTGTGCTTGGGGTTTAGGGTTTCGGGGCTTGGGGGTTTGTGGAGTTTCGGGGTTTGAGTCTAGTTTATGGGCTCAGGGGTTTGGAGGTTAAGGGAGTTTACGGATTTCTGGTGTTTGGGGTTTCGGGGTGTGTGGGTTCAGGGAGTTTAGGTTTCATTGCGTTTCAGGGTTTTGGGGTTAGTCTCAGGGTTTAGGGGTTTGGGCGAGGGCTCCCGATAAGTGGTGAACTTGTCTGCTGTTTTCTATGGATGGGTTTCATGGAACAACGGGAGGATACAGAGCAACATAGTGCAACCTAGAACACAAGCAGTCACCCTAACCCCTAAACCCTGAAGCCTAAACCCTAAAGCATAACCCCTAAACCCTTCCCCAACCACCAGATGTAGGGATTCGCTCCTCGCTGCCTCGCTGCTCAGTTTTGAAAACAAACCCCTAAACCCTAAACCCCAAAAGCTAAACCCTAAACCCTAAACCCTAAACCCTAAACCCTAAACCCTAAACCCTAAACCCTAAACCCTAAACCCTAAACCCTAAACCCTAAACCCTAAACCCTAAACCCTAAACCCTAAAAAACCCAAAACCCTTTAAACCCTAACCCTTAAACCCTAAAACCTAAACCCTAAAACCCTAAACCCTAAACCCTAAACCCAAACCCTAAACCTAACCCTAAACCTAAACCCTAAACCTAAAACTCTAAACCCTAAAACCTAAAACCTAAACCCTTAAAACCCTAAAAACTAAACCCGAAAAACCGAAACCCGAAACCCTAACCCTAAACCCTAAACCCTAAACCCTAAACCCTAAACCCTAAACCCTAAACCCTAAACCCTAAACCCTAAACCCTAAACCCTAAACCCTAAACCCTAGACCCTAGACCCTAAACCCTAAACCCTAAACACCCTAAACCCTAAAAGCAAACCTTAAACCTTAACATGAGGTTCCCATTCTTGTAAGGTGTTAGTCGCGGGCCCACGAAGGCAGCCAGAACGCAGTTTAGGTTTTAGGGTGTGTATACATAAACATATATGTTTTGGTTATCATATTTATATATGTTTTGGGTTTACGTAGGGTTTAGGGTAAAAAGGGAGTAGGGTATATAGGGGCTGAGAAGGAGAAGCTCTGCTACGTCTGCCGAGACTTTGAAAGCGAGATGATGTGCCGTGGCAAACCCTAAACATCTGTCAACCTCGACCCCGTTGAGCTTCCTGGGGTTTTAGGGCTTAGGGCTTGAGTAAGTCGTTTTTGTACGTGCTTCAAGCCTGAAACCCCTAAACCCAAAACCCTAAACCCCCAAGCCCTTAAACCCTAAACCCTGAAACCCCAAACCCAAACCTTAAAACCCGAAAAGCCTAAACCCCAAAGCCTAAAGTCCGAAACTTTAGGGTCATTTTGCCTGACGCAAAGTATCATCTGACATCAAACTTCCAGAATTTGACAAGCCATTGTTCACTATCATTCTTCAACATGTAGGCTTTCAGTGTTGCGGGGTTTAGGGTTTAGGGTTTGGGTTTAGGGTTTAGGGTTTCGGCTTCCAGGGTTCAAGGGTTCACATCAACCATTCTATTCAATTTTGGCTTATTATCCCTCAATGCCTAAATGCCCCTACTTTGTTCCCTGTGCTAGGGCTCGGAATTCCCCTCTGGGCTTCTCCGGGAGGAGAACCAGAAGGTATGCTAAAGTGACTCCCATCTCGAATCATCCTTAAACCATGTTCGTACTTTCTGGAGTTTACTGCAAGCCGCCTCAAAACCTAAATCCTAAACCTTCTGCCTTCTAAAACCCAAAACCCCAAACCCCCAAAACCCTAAACCCCAAAGCCCTAAACCCCAAACCCCCAAAACCCTAAACCCCTAAACCCCTAAACCCCTAAACCCTACCCCCTAAACCCCTAAACCCCTAACCCCTAAACCCTAAAACCTAAACCCTAAACCCTAAACCCTTGTAAACCCCAAACCCTAAACCCAAAGCCCCAGGAAAGTCCGATGTGGGAACTTCAAAGACCGGCCTTTTGATCCTCGGCCTGGGAGTGTTCGAGGGTTTCGGGGGTTCGGGTTTAGGGTTTAGGGTTTAGGGTTTAGGGTCTAGGGTTTAGGGTTTAGGGTTTAGGGTTTTAGGGGTTCCGGTTTAGGGTTTAGGGTTTAGGGTTTAGGGTTTAGGGTTTAGGGTTTAGGGTTTAGGGTCTAGGGTTTAGGGTTTAGGGTTTAGGGTTTGAGGCTCACGAGGGTGGATCTGTGGTTTAGGGTTTAGGGTTTAGGCCCAACCCCAAATCGCAAACCCCTATCAGGGCTTTTGGATTCTTGGTTTTTTTCGCAAACTCTAAACTCTAAACCCTAAACCCTAAACCCTACACCCTACACCCTAAACCCTAAACCCTAAACCCTAAACCCCAAACCCTAAACCCTAAACCCTAGTCAAAACACCCGAAACCCGAAGCCCCAAGTCCCCAGCCCTACAGTCCCCAGCCGCTACGGTTGGTATCTTTCGCCGCAGCCGCCGCTAAGCGGCCCTGCACGGCCTTTCGTGCGATGCGCGAAAGGCCTAAAGCCCCCCCCCCCCCCCAAGACCCAAGATTTTCACACACCCTAAACCCTAGCCCCAAACTCTTCACACCCTAAACCCCAAACCCTAAACCCCACACCCTAAACCCTAAACCCTAAACCCTAAACCCTAAACCCTAAACCCTAAACCCTAAAACCCTAAAACCCTAAAACCCTAAAACCCTAAAACCCTAAACCCTGGACCGCCCCGAACCACAAAGCCCTTCGAAGGAACTGCCGGACGGGAGCGTCCTGATGGTGGGTTCCTGGGGCTGATCTGATGCGGACTTGTTTTCAAAAGGGTTTTGGGGTTTAGGGTTTAGGGTTTGGGGTCTAGGGTTTAGGGTTTCGGGTTTGGGGTGTCGGGTTTTAGGGTCTTAGGGTTCAGGGGGCACAGGGTTTCTGCTTCAATGAGTATCGTGTTTCGTGTTTTTGTTCCTCATGCTTGGGTGTACGGTGTAGGGCTGGTTAGTTGCTGTTTCCCATTCTTTGTTTGTCAGCGTGTAGGGCTTTTGTCGGTTAGGGTTTCGCATGCACATGCATTCGCTTAGGGCGGGTGGCTCTAAAGGTGAAGGTCCTCGGTGGTTCTGTTGAGCTTGGTAGTTCAGGGTTTGGGGTTAAGGGTTTAGGGTTCTGGGTTCATGGCAAGTTTGGGGCCCCCGGGGGGGGGGGGGGGGGGCTTTCCATACCGGTTTGGGGCATCAACCGGTTTCTTGTCCTAGGCCTTCTCCCCGGCCTCCAAGCCCCCAGGAAGCTCATTGAACTAGCATCCGCCGACACCCTAGACCCTAAACCCTAAACACGAAACCCTAACCCCTAAACTTTAAAGCCCAAAGCCCAAAGCCCAAAGCCTAAACCCTAAACCCTAAACCCCTAAACCCTAAACCCTAAACCCTAAACCCTAAACCCTAAACCCTAAACCCTAAACCCTAAACCCTAAACCCTAAACCCTAAACCCTAAACCCTAAACCCTAAACACCCCACAGCTTAAACCCCTAGTCCCCACAGCCTACGCTCCCAGGAGCCGAGCGCTTCCGCTGCCCGGAGCTTCTCTTCCAGTCCCTCCGGCCCGGATTTTTTTGATTGAGAGCCCGCCGCTCTGGAGGTTAGGGTCTAGGGCTTAGGGCTTAGGGTTTAGGGTTTAGGGTTTAGGGTTTAGGGTTTAGGGTTTAGGGTTCTAAGCCCCAAAGCTCCCCACCTCGAGCCCCAAACCCCAGCCTCCCAGACTCTTGTCCTCCTCCAACATTTTTGGTCTGGGTTGAGGGTTTAGGGTTTAGGGTTTAGGGTTCTAAGCCAGTAGCTGCGAACTCCGGAGTATGTCTGAGTGGAGGTCCGAAGGATTGACGTTCGGAATTCTGCCGACCACCCTAACCACCCCAACCACACCCTCACCACCCTCACCACCCTAACCACCCTCAACCCTAAACCCTAGACCCTACACACCCTATATAGGGTTTACCCTAAACCCTAAAGCCTAAACCCTGAACCCTAAACCCTAAACCCTATATAAGCCCTCATGGCCACAGAGCCTTCGTCTTTGCCAGGCCGGCGCTGATTGGCAAGGATGCCTCCGGCATTCAGCAGCCCGATGGCACGGGTAGATTCCTAGGACCCCCCCCCTCCCTCTACTACCAGAAGGGCAAACGGGGTAAAGGGTTTAGGGTTTAGGGTTTAGGGCAAACGGTAAAACCCTCAACCCTACTACCAGAGAAAAGGGCGCACGGGAAAAAGGTTTCAGGGTTCAGGGTTCAGGGTGTAGCTAAACCTTAACCCCTAAACCCTCAACCCTATAGACCCTAGACCCTAGACCCTAAACCCTAAACCCAAAACCCTAGATGTACCACAACAGGGCACAGAACGTAGATCAACCTCCCAGAAGTGAGCATCTCGAGGCACCTCCTTTTCCAGTCGATCAAGCCCCTTGGCGCTTCGCGGTATAAGGCTTTCATTCCACGCATTTCAGGGTCGAACCCCTAAACCCTCAACCCTCAACCCTAAACCCTCAACCCTCAACCGTCAACCCTCAACCCCCAACCGTCAACCCTCAACCCTCAACCCTAAATCCAAGACCCCAAACTCTAAGTCCGAGCCCCCCACAACTCCGATCTTTGGTGGAATATACCCCAAGCCTTACAAGCCCTAAACCCAAACCCCAAACCCCAAACCCTAAACCCTAAACCCGAAACCCTAAACCGTGCACCTGGCGGTCTTCTGGCGCCCAGCCGCTCTAGATTCGGGTTGTTTCGGGAGCGGTTTACGGGTTTTGGGTTTAGGGTTCAGGGTTCAGGGTTTAGGGTTTAGGGTTTAGAAGTACTTGTACCCCAAACCCAACAGCTGCTTTTTAAGGGGGTATCCTTCTCCCCTAAACCCGAGACCCTAACGAACCCCAGACTTTCTTGGGGGCCGTACACCCCTAAACACCCTAAACCCTACGCCCTAAACCCTAAACCCTAAAATGCTCAGGACCTGCAACTTGGATGTCCGCGGAGATCTTGCAGGAAACGTGGTTCTTGCCGGCGGGAGCAGCACCTCGGTTGCAGGGTCGGGTGGCTCAGGGGTTTAGGGTTTCGGGTTTAGGGCTTAGGGTTTAGGGTTTAGGGGGTCTAGGGTTGAGAAACCTTGAGCCCTAAACCTTAAACTTGAGTTCTCGCCGCGCGTCGATGATGAGCCTCCCCCCCATCGGCTAGTCCGTCCATGTCTTGGAACTTGGACCCTAAACCCTAAACCCTAAACCCTAAACCCTAAACCCTAAACCCTAAACCCTAAACCCTAAACCCTAAACCCTAAACCCTAAACCCTAAACCCTAAACCCTAAACCCTAAGCCCTTAACCTGTAACCCTCCCGCACCAGAGGCCCTTCACCGGGGGCTTATCAAAAGCAGAGGCCGGTCCAGGCCTGTTGCCTGCCCCCATCCCCTGCAAAAGCACAGAAGCAGGGGCCACATGGGTTTAGGGTTTAGGGTTTAGGGTTTAGGGTTTAGGGTTTAGGGTTTAGGGTTTAGGGCTTAGGGGCCACCATTGTAAAGAAATCCCCAAAGGCCACAACCGGCAGAGGTGGGTCGGCCCTTGGCGGCCCACAAACCTTGAACCCTAAACCCTAAACCCTAAACCCTCAACCCTCAACCCTAAACCCTAACCCCTAAACCCTAAACCCTAAACCCTAAACCCCAAACCCTAAACCCTAAACCCTAAACCCTAAACCCTAAACCCTAAACCCCAAGCCCTAAAACCTTGAACCCTAAACCCTAAACCCTAAACCCTAAACCCTAAACCCTAAACCCTAAACCCTAAACCCTAAACCCTAAACCCTAAACCCTAAACCCTAAACCCTAAACACCTCCCCCCCCTCCCCCCCTCCAGCGCCGCCCCTCCCCAGCCCGAGGCCTCTTTGACGGCATGGCCGAGCGGCTGCGTTTGGAGCTCGAGGCCGCTTGTGGCTTAGGGTTCAGGGGGTTTAGGGTTTAGGGTTTAGGGGTTTAGGGTTTAGGGTTTAGGGTGTAGGGCCAGAGTCTAGGGGTTTAAGGTTTAGGGTTTAGGGTGTTTAGGGTTCAAGGGTTGTGGGTTTAAGGGTTAGGAGTTTAGGGGTTTAGGAGTTTTGGGGATTTAGGGGCTGAGGGGTTCAAAAGGTTTCGTGGTTTGGGGTTGATAAGGGCTTCAGAGGTGTTAGGGTTTTAGTTGTTTCGTTTTGAGGGTTTGTGGGTTTAGGGTTTGGGACGAACTGCTTTGCGATTCTCAGGTATTCTGGGAGGATTCCGGGGTTTAGAGGCGTGTTTGGGTTTGCAGGGCTCTAGTTCTAGGCAGAGACGGGAGCTTCAAGTTTCCTATGATGCCCTAAACCCCCAATCCCAAGCCCCAAACCCTAAACCCCAATCCCAAGTTTTAACCTTAAACCCGAAGCTTAGAGAAGGTCCAAGATCACCCTCAAAGGCCCCCAACAGCAGCACCGGCCCCAAAATATGGCACCTAAAACCATGAAAAACCAACCAAAGCACCCTAAGCCCCTGAACCCGAAACGTTTAGGGTTTCAGACTTCCCAACCCTGAGCCCTTTCTACGTACCCGAAACCCTCCATCTGGAGGACCTTGTGGAGTGGAGGCTGATCGTGAAGGTGGGGGAGTTCAGGTGGTCCTTTTTGTTGAGGGCTTTGGGCTTATTTCATCCTGCCGGCTTTCTAGACCTTTGAGGAAAGTCCGGAGGGCCAGGCGGACCTGCAAGGTTGTTGGTTTGGAGCCTTGCTGGGAGGCTTTCTGGAAGCCTCTTTGCAGCTTCTTGGAGTGGTTGGAGACGTCGGAAGGGCTTCTGAAAGGCTTGTTTGGAGGCTTGTTTGGGGGCTTTTGGACGGCTTTTTTGGGAGTCCTTTTGCTGTTTGGCCTGGGTGGCAGCTTCGACTGGACGAGCCTTCATTCCAAAAAAAACGGCCAAGGTCGTAAACTTGGGAGCCCGAACCTTTCGCTGCGCACGCTTGGCGCGTCCTGGACCCTGCAAGCCCTAAAAAAAAATGCGGTTTAGGGCTATCTGAAACCTCGAAACATTTCTAGCCAACTCTGGCAGGTGGCTGCTGAGCCTGCAAGGAAGCTCCTCGGACTGTGCTGGGGCTCAGGACTTGCTGCGGGGTTGCGGCGCAGGGTTTCGCGTTTAGGGTTTAGGGCTTCGGGCTTCGGGTTGAGGGTTGAGGCTGGGGTTGAGAGTTGAGGGTTTAGATCAGGCTTGAAACCCTAAACCCTAAACCCTACACCCTACACCCCAAAGCCTTCCACTTGGGGTGCTGCATCAGTCCGTTACAAGGATGCCACTGGCATTCTTTCCCTGCATGCCCCCAGGAGCGTGACATGCGAGACTCTAAGCCGTGTTACACCCCTTAAAGTTTGGACCCCCCAAAAAGGGGGACTGGAAGCCCTAAGCCCTGAGCCCTCAACCCTAAACCCTAAGCTAAACCCTAAACCCTAAACCCTAAACCCTAAACCCTAAACCCTAAACCCTAAACCCTAAACCCTAAACCCTAAACCCTAAACCCCAAACCCTAAACCTCAAACCCTAAACCCTAAACCCCAGCTTTGTGAACTGCCCGGAAGGTATTGCGCATGGATGGGAGGCTCTTTGTTGGCATCCCTCGGCACCTTTCAGCACATGTGGATCGCCCGGGAGGCCGGCCCTCTAGGGACGGGAGCCCTGAAGCTTCTAGGGTTTAGGGCTCAGGGTTGGTTAGGGTTTATGAAGGTGCAGGGTTTAGGGTTTAGGGTTTAGGGTTTAGGGTTTAGGGTTAAAGAGCCACCGCGCCTTTAGAGCCCGAAGCTCTGGAATCCTACCGCCCTCTTTCAACGCTTGAGTCCAAAACCTTCAGCCCCAGCTGGCTCTGGCTCGCGACCCCCCAAAACCCAAAACCCAAAACCCTGAACCCTAAACCCTAAACCCTAAACCCTAAACCCTCAACCCTCAACCCTCAACCCTCACCCCTCAACCCCCCACCCTAAACCCTAAACCCTTACCAAGAAGAGGCCGCGAGGCCCTCAACCCCGTTTGGGGTTTCTGGGGTCGACTGTCTGCGCCCCTGAAGCCCAAACAAGCCCCCGAGAAACCCCGAACCCTAAACGCTCAACCCTAGCAGGTCTATAAGCCCTAAACCCTAAACCCTAAACCCTAAACCCTAAACCCTAAACGCTAAACCCTAAACCCTAAACCCTAAACCCTAAACCCTAAACCCTAAACCCTAAACCCTAAACCCTATAGACAACCAAACCCCGAAACCTCAAGCCCTGAGCCCCCCCCAACCTTGATACCTGGATACTTGTGCCCTAAAATAGGGACCTAGCGGCCCTGAAGCACCTGAGCTAGAGCCCTGGAGACCTGTGCAGCCCCCAACGCCACGGGAAGCCATGAAGCCCCAAGCCTTACTTCGCCCATACTTGAACTTCAAACTTGTCTAAGGGGTTTCCATTGTTTTTAAACTTTTCTAAGGGTTTTTCATTTCGAAGTACGAGGAATCAGAATGAAGTTTAACCTCTTTCATTCCGCGGTTGCCGGAGTGGTAAGAAGCCCGAAGCCCCTAGCAGCACGCACGCCCTAAAGGCTCTAAGGGTCGTTGCATGGTCCCTTAGTATGGACCCTGAAACGGGCTCCTGACATAACCCTGTACACCCCAAGGGCCCCAATTCTTCACAACCCTTTAAAGAAGGTAAGGGACCATCTTCATATTTTTAGGCCCCCATGAAACGACCCGCAGAGAATCAGAACCCCCCACGAGCCGTCGATCGCAGGAATACGACGAGGAGGGGCCGGAGATCGTACATGGCCGCTGCTACTGAAGCCCCTGGCGATTTCGGTTTTAGGGGTTTCGGTTTAGGGTTTAGGGGTTCCTAGAGAAGAAAGCCTTGAAAGCGAAAGAACCACTTGTTGAGCATCGGCTCAACCCAAAGACCTAAACCCTGTGAAGCCTGGACTCTGAAACTCTTACACCCTAAACCCCTGAACCCCAAAGCCCCTAAATCCTAAGCCCTAAGCCCCTAGACCCCTAACACCTAAACCCTAAGCCCCTAAACCCTAAATCCTAAATCCCCCTAAACCCCTAGAACCTCTCAATGCATGCCGAGCTCGATGCCGATAATTTTCCTGGCGTCGCTCGGATGCCCCTGGGGACGGCGTGTCCACCTTGGAATGCGGCTGGTGTTTTGCACAGCGGAAAGGCTACATGGGCGTTCTTTCGAGTGTAGGCTGTAGGGCTTCTGGGCTCATAGAACTGTTGAAGGGGACGCTGCGAATTCACCTTGGCACTTCCGCATCCGCGCGGTGTCGGCGCAGTTTGTACAGCTCTGGTAGCGACCCCTCAAACTCACCTCCGTCGACTTCTTTCCTACTTACAAGCCATGGGCGACGTGGAGGTGGCCGCGTTGGTGGTGGACAACGGCAGCGGCATGTGCAAGGCGGGGTTTGCCGGGGACGACGCCCCCCGCGCCGTCTTCCCGTCCATCGTCGGCCGCCCCAAGATGCCGGGCATCATGGTGGGCATGGACCAGAAGGACGGGAGTCGTGACTTCTATCCATGTACTTTGATCACTCCTTCCCCAAATGCCCGAAGCCCGATGACATCACTGCCTACGGATCGCAAAGGGATATCCAGTAGCTACTAAAAGCGTAGTGGGAGACCCTAGGCACGTATTCGTGCTGCATCTCACTTTTGAAAACAAGTTTGGCGTGTCTGGCAGGATTCCTACATTGGCGACGAGGCCCAGTGCAAGCGGGGTGTCCTTACCCTGAAGTACCCCATCGAGCACGGCATCGTCACCAACTGGGATGACATGGAGCCTTGGCCCAAAAGCAGAGCTGTGAAGGCAGTATGTAAGGGTGTTACCCTCAACCCTAAACCCTAAACCCTCAGCCCTAAGCCCTAAAGCCTAAGCACGTAAACCCTAAACCCTAATAAACCCTAAACCCTAAGCCCTAATCCCTAGGCCCTAAACCCTAAACCCTAAGCCCACTAGGAGAAGATCTGGCACCACACCTTCTACAACGAGTTGCGGGTCGCCCCGGAGGAGCACCCAGTGCTGCTGACGGAGGCCCCGCTGAACCCGAAGGCCAACCGCGAGCGCATGACGCAGGTCATGTTCGAAACCTTCAACGCCCCTAGGATCTTCTTGGGCTGTTCTCCGAACACGGCAGGCCTTGTGCCCTCTCCTGTCGCTCCTAAACCCATCCGAAAGTGTTCGCCGAGGTTCCTGCCATGTACGTTGCCATCCAGGCGGTGCTTTCCCTGTACTCCTCCGGCCGCACCACGGGCATCGTCATGGACCGTTTTTTTTTGGGGGTTCAGCTTCGGGCATCGTAGCAGTTTTTGTATGCGCGGGATGTGTGAGCTTGGCAAGCCTGCTTTCAGCATCTAGGGTATGAGGTCGTAGATGGTCGTAGAGTGCATCATAGAGGTCAGTCAAACAGAGTTCTTCTCTGGGCACGATGCTTGCGTTGAATTCATCTCTTGTGCAGGACAGCGGCGACGGCGTGTCGCACACGGTGCCGATCTACGAGGGCTACTCGCTGCCCCATGCCATCCTCCGACTGGACCTGGCTGGCCGTGACCTCACGGAGTACATGATGAAGATCCTGACTGAGCGGGGCTACAACTTCACCACCACGGCGGAAAGAGAGATTGTGAAAGACGTCAAGGAGAAGCTGTGCTACATCGCGCTGGACTTCGACAGCGAGATGAAGGCGGCCAGCGAGAGCAGCGACAAGGAGAAGACGTACGAGCTGCCCGATGGCAACATCGTCACCGTGGGCTCGGAGCGTTTCCGCTGCCCTGAGGCCATGGGGTTTTGATTTTGTGCCATCAGTTACTTTAAGCGGTATCAGCGGATATCGCCATGGTTGTGGCTGCAATGCTTGGCGCCGGATGGGCAAGTAGGTTTTAGATGCGAGCTGTGAGATTGAATGTGTGTGTGGAGGCTCCTGCGTTGACTGCTTATCAGTTCTTTGCGGCTCAGTAGGCAAATTCGGCACACGCGAGGTCCTGTTCCAGCCCAGCTTCGTGGGCAAGGAGGCCAGCGGCATCCACGACACGACCTTCCAGTCCATCATGAAGTGCGACGTGGACATCCGCAAGGACCTCTACTCCAACATCGTGCTGTCTGGCGGTACTTCGATGTTCCAGGGTGTCGGCGAGAGAATGACCAAGGAGCTGACGGCGTTGGCGCCCTCCACCATGAAGATCAAGGTGGTGGCCCCCCCGGAGCGCAAGTACAGCGTGTGGATTGGAGGCTCCATCCTGTCCTCCCTGAGCACCTTCCAGCAGATGTGGATCTCCAAGGGCGAGTACGACGAGAGCGGCCCGACCATCGTGCACCGCAAGTGCTTCTGAGTCTAGGCAGACTTGCTGAAGATGCCACGTTTGAAGCGCCACAGGCAGATATGTCGAAGAGGGTCAAACCCTCATGTTCATGTCTGACCTATCGGTGCGATGATGGGCTGGGTAGGTCCAGCGACCAGTGTCTGCAAGGGTGGTTTTGAGATGTTTTGTCTGCTCCTGCTATCTTGGCAGGTGCTGCTCGGGTGTGCGCCCGAACTTGTTGCAGCTTCTGTACAGCAACCGGGCTGCGACTGCGATAGGGATTCAGGTCTCAAGCATGCCAGCCGCGACGCTGAAATGCCTTGAGACAAGATGAAAGAAGAGGCGGGCACGTTGCCTGCTTGGAGTGAGTTGCGCATCCCGTTCATGCCGCGCATGCCACGCTGCGAATTCACCTTGTCACTTCTGCTTCCGCACGGTGTCGGCGCAGTTTGTACCTCAAACTCACCTCCGTCGGCTTCTTTCCTACTTGCAAGCCATGGGCGACGTGGAGGTGGCCGCGTTGGTGGTGGACAACGGCAGCGGCATGTGCAAGGCGGGGTTTGCCGGGGACGACGCCCCCCGCGCCGTCTTCCCGTCCATCGTCGGCCGCCCCAAGATGCCGGGCATCATGGTGGGCATGGACCAGAAGGACGGGGGTCGTGACTTACATCCATGCACTTTGATCACTTAAGGGGTTGGGCACCTGCGAAGCGCAATCCCCCCCCCCCCTCCCAAATTCCCAACAAAGCCCTGTGACATCACTGCCTACGGATCGCACAGGGAGAAGCTACTAGAGGTGTAGTGGGAGACTGTGGGCACGTATTGATGTTGCGTCTGGTTTTTGAAAGCAAGTTGGCCGTGTCTGGCAGGATTCCTACATTGGCGACGAGGCCCAGTGCAAGCGGGGTGTCCTTACCCTGAAGTACCCCATCGAGCACGGCATCGTCACCAACTGGGATGACATGGAGCCTTGGCCCAAAAACAGAGCTGTGAAGGCAGTATGTAAGGGTGTTACCCTCAACCCTAAACCCTAAACCCTCAGCCCTAAGCCCTAAGCCCTAAGCCCTAAACCCTAAACCCTAAACCCTAAGCCCACTAGGAGAAGATCTGGCACCACACCTTCTACAACGAGTTGCGGGTCGCCCCGGAGGAGCACCCAGTGCTGCTGACGGAGGCCCCGCTGAACCCGAAGGCCAACCGCGAGCGCATGACGCAGGTCATGTTCGAAACCTTCAACGCCCCTAGCATATTCTGGGGTTCTCCAGCACAGGAGCATTGAGTTTGGGGTTCTCGCCGTCATCGTCGAAAACCGAAAGCCTTGTGCCCTCTCCTGTCGCTCCTAAACCCATCCGAAAACGTCCGCCTAGGTTCCTGCCATGTACGTTGCCATCCAGGCGGTGCTTTCCCTGTACTCCTCCGGCCGCACCACGGGCATCGTCATGGACCGTTTTTTTTTTGGGGGTTCAGCTTCGGGCATCGTAGCAATTTTTGTATGCGCGGGATGTGTGAGCTTGGCAAGCCTGCTTTCAGCATCTAGGGTATGAGGTCGTAGATGGTCGTAGAGTGCATCATAGAGGTCAGTCAAACAGAGTTCTTCTCTGGGCACGATGCTTGCGTTGAATTCATCTCTTGTGCAGGACAGCGGCGACGGCGTGTCGCACACGGTGCCGATCTACGAGGGCTACTCGCTGCCCCATGCCATCCTCCGACTGGACCTGGCTGGCCGTGACCTCACGGAGTACATGATGAAGATCCTGACTGAGCGGGGCTACAACTTCACCACCACGGCGGAAAGAGAGATTGTGAAAGACGTCAAGGAGAAGCTGTGCTACATCGCGCTGGACTTCGACAGCGAGATGAAGGCGGCCAGCGAGAGCAGCGACAAGGAGAAGACGTACGAGCTGCCCGATGGCAACATCGTCACCGTGGGCTCGGAGCGTTTCCGCTGCCCTGAGGCCATGGGGTTTTTGATTTTGTGCCATCAGTTACTTTAAGCGGAATCAGCGGATATCACCATGGTTGTGGCTGCAATGCTTGGCGCCGGATGGGCAAGTAGGTTTTAGATGCGAGCTGTGAGATTGAATGTGTGTGTGGGGGCTCCTGCGTTGACTGCTTATCAGTTCTTGCGGCTCAGTAGGCAAATTCGGCACACGCGAGGTCCTGTTCCAGCCCAGCTTCGTGGGCAAGGAGGCCAGCGGCATCCACGACACGACCTTCCAGTCCATCATGAAGTGCGATGTGGACATCCGCAAGGACCTCTACTCCAACATCGTGCTGTCTGGCGGTACTTCGATGTTCCAGGGTGTCGGCGAGAGAATGACCAAGGAGCTGACGGCTTTGGCGCCCTCCACCATGAAGATCAAGGTGGTGGCCCCCCCGGAGCGCAAGTACAGCGTGTGGATTGGAGGCTCCATCCTGTCCTCCCTGAGCACCTTCCAGCAGATGTGGATCTCCAAGGGCGAGTACGACGAGAGCGGCCCGACCATC